CACAACGCAAAAATGCAAGGTCTTCATTTCTTCTTCCAAATAAAATTTTCAACTCTTTTTTTTCAATTTTAAAGATCGAAAGCTTCTACCCGAAGATGTTGGACCCGTCAGCAAAGGATGTTGTGTTTATAAATTGGAAATCGTCGTATCCTTTTACGGGTGTGTAGGTAACGCTTGGGTCCGTACAAAAAAATTACATAATTAGGAAGGGTATATACCCAAAGACCTAGGTAACGGCGTAAGTTCTGTATGTTCGTGTACGGTAGATTCTGAGAAAAAAGCTACAAAATTAGGCTCTCATTGTGGGACTTTTCGAGACGTAATTTTTTTTGCAGATGCACTCTAAAACGTATTATGCGGGTCACTCTGTAATTGGGCGCATGTTGAGGACTGTTGAGGACCCAGAACAAGATAAATAAATAAAAAGTAAATAAACCAAACATTTTGGAGCCATAGCTTGTTTAAAAGAAAATGATGGCATATTACGTATATACCTATGCAATTTTTCAGTTCCAGATTACGTTTTTTAGAAACCATGCAAGAAATTCACCAATGTTCACCACTCAGTTTGCCTCTCACTTTGGATCTTCTATATTGTTATCTTTCACTTTGTGAAATTCATCTCACAATCAAATCTTTGAAAACATATTTCAATCCTTAGTGTTGTGGCAAATTTTAACAATTTATTAACAAAATAGCACCTACAAGATCGCAAATTAAGCTCAAAAATGAACGAAGAAATTAAAACTTTTTTCAGTTTGAAATTGTATACCGAATACTTTTTATTAGAAAAACGTGGGTGACTCTTGTTTCTCGAAAATTGTCCATATTTGCAACCAACCATCGAATTGACGAGAGGTTCTTAAATCAGATCTTTAGACACCAGTTTTTACATGAGAGTTAGGAAAAAAGCGACTTTTTCATTCACCCTATACGTTGTAAAGATAAATTATTCCAAATTTCAGGTAATCTGCTCTAGATTGAAGTACGATGGAAAAGCGTCATGAACTGAAACTGTGATGAAATTAATGGGATTTTTAATTTGGTAAAGTATAGCAATCGAAGCTGAAAAATGTCTCTTAACAATGATCGTTAGCGAAATAAAATTGAATGAGTGAATGACAACGAAAAATCATGTCCACAAAAAACAATCCCATATCGTACGCAAAGATTAAATAAGAACATTTTCATTATCTTCGTGGCCACTCATTACGGTAAGAACGCCAAAATAATTCGTTTAATCTTAAACCAGTTTTTCACGCTATCCTGCGAAAGGAAAAGTGGGGATCGACCTGGACCTTCCTAAACATATGAAAGCTCGCTCTACCCACTCATGTGGTGTAAATAAATACAAGCTTTTGTCAGGATAACCTGAACTCATTCGGCTCTCTCCATTAACAAAAAGTTTGCGCTGGTGTTTTAAGTGAATTTTGCCGCCCGGAAAATAGTGCAGTTGGTAAGTTATTTTTTTTCTAAATTAATAAGGAGTTTACCGTTAAAGGGGTGGAAAGCGCTTTGGACAGATTTATTGGATTTCTGCGTCCCATGCCAACAATAAATTTTACGCATGCAAAATATCCTTTTTCTTGGAAGTTTTTACATAAGTAAATTTAAACGGTCCTTTACCGTTCACTCTATATTATCTATGCAGGTAAAAATTGTATTTTACAAATGTTTGGCAATATTGTTTTATTGTGGGTAGAATTTTAAACCGTTCGTTCGTTCGGTCTAGTAATAAAGGGATAACCAGCTTTTGTTATTGTAGTATATTTTTCCCACCGTGCTAAACGCTTTCCCTCACGTAAAACGTTGATAAATCTCCATTTATGTCATCAATTTTCGTCAACGTCTATTAGTGATGTCAACAAATTAAAAAAATTAACTTAGGTTCGTCATTAGATTGTTTAAGTCGTCATGAACTAATGACGTTGTACTTGATTAGTTTTGTATTCCACTGGAAACCACTGAGATCAAGGTTTTTACAATCTCAAGAATTTCTTATACACATTTTCCAATTATTTTAATCGTATCTTCTTGTTAAGTAAATATTTGAATATGAACTGTCAATAATTAAGATGTAGTTAAATATCATTATTATTCTTTGAAGTCATTAAAGAGAAAATTATTTTGAAATTAGTTTTAAATAAACTAATTACATTATGTGCAAAAATAACACAGCTTGATTATTCCTAGTTGAAGTTTTGGCATCGATTTGATTACCCCAATTTGTGGAATTTTATGAGGATATTTTTTTGGGGTAGAGTTATGCAAAAAAATCACTACATTAGTTCTGTTCCAAAACAACGAGGTACAAAGGCTTTGGGGGTATGATAGTTTACCGAATATTGTTTTTACAATTCAGTGCAAATGACACTTTTGGGACACCCACGGGCACTCGGACCAGGTTCAAAATTTCATGGAAATCCGTCGATTTTAGTGACAAAGAAAGAATTTCTTTTTTCTATCGGGAATCCTCGACGTGTGGCCATCGGGAAACATCATCAGTGATAGTTATCTAACCAAAATTTACAAATTCGTTGCTATTAATTCTTCTTTTTTAAGCCATTAGAGTTTGCAAATTTCGAAATATCATTGGACTTGCAGAAGTAAAACACCAGTAGCCACAATAATGTACCAAGAACTTTTTGAATCTGTAAGATTTCATCGTAACAGTTCTGTAAGAAATGCACCATTTTCAGGTTGAGTTAGAAAGATAACGGCTCGACGGATATTGTCCAAAATATTAGGCATACCGAAACAAAAAAACAGCAGGCCGAATTTTTGAATCTGAAGACCTTATTTTTCTGTGTACAACCTTTATAGGAAAAAAAAATTGAGAAAAACTAGGATATTTTTTCGGCAAAACGATTATCTCAATTTCGTTAAAATTTTTAGCAGTGTGTTTAGGTATAAAGGATGTAAGGCTCTGGCAAAAACTTTATTTAAATATCTGACTTTTTAGCACTGAAACGTCATAACACTTTTTTCCGAACAGTAAACCCACAAGATACTAACCGGGAGCAACGTTGCTTGATTCCCCTTGATCCACAAATTCTAATCAAGTCACCAGGAACCTTTAAAGATCCAGAACCTATTTCGCATTGACTTCAGGAAGGCGTAAAGAGTTTTTTAACTACAAACCAGGTGCCAAATTCTTGGCAGAACAGCTTCCTAGCTCAAATCGCGCGTTTTTTTAACTTTTGTTTGTGTTTATTCATTTACTGTAGTAAATGAATTATTAGTAATAAACACAAACAAAAGTTTAAAAAACGCGCGATTTGAGCTAGGAAGCTGTTCTGCCAAGAATTTGGCACCTGGTTTGTAGTTAAAAAACTCTTTACGCCTTCCTGAAGTCAATGCGAAATAGGTTCTGGATCTTTAGAGGTTCCTGGTGACTTGATTAGAATTTGTGGACCTGTCTAATGAGGTACAGTTTTTCCTGCTTCAATTTCTTCGTTAAGATAATCAGCATCAGAAAAAAATGTTTTTATCAAGGGGACAAATCCTTGTTACTCTGCCTGCACTCATGGTAAGATATTAATGAAGCTGTCTGTCGTTCACCCTCTCGCCTTTTTTTTAACTTTTGCCATTGTACTTACAAATCCTAATCATACACGCTCGTTTAGTCCAAACTCAAAACGTGAATCTTTTTCGTGATCATGTTAGACCAGAGAGACTCAAAATCTTGATCCCAATTTCATTGAGGAAGTGGTAAATGCAATGATATAGAAAAAAATTTACTGTTGGCAAACATTATTTATGGTATGAGTTGCACATGCGCAAACCCAACTTTCTTACGTATGGACGGATTTTTTGAAATTAAGGAAATCAGCTTCCTAAAAAAATAAATGACATTGCTTGAAAATTTTATTTTGGGCGATAATTCCAAAAGGACTTTTTTCTTTGGGTATCTTGCTTGGAGCGATGAAAATCCATGTTTCATCTACATTAAATATTTGATGAGGACCAAAACTGCGGCATTCATATTCGGTTTCCAAATGCTCCACATTTTCTTGATTAATCCCCAAAGCTCTTGCGGCGTTCCAAATGCTCCACCGGCGAATTTTCTGAATTCCGATTAATCCATCCAAAAATTGATAACTATGAGCAAACACGAACACTTTGCGGCGTATTTTTGGATTCTACGGGCAATTTTAAATTCCATGAAATATCATGTAAAATGTAAAATCGTCGGTAGAATCCAAAAATGTAGAAATGTCGTTTAAACTTCGAAATGTAAGGTCACTTTCGTAGGAAAGTTTTGAGTATTCAATTCCTTCTACCCACCAAAATTTTATATTCATACCATTAATTCTGTCTATGTATTGTAAAATAATTCTGTTTTTACCCTCTTTACTTTTAATTTGAACGTACACCCCTTTTGTCTATATAGATCGTATAGATTTCAGCGCATTTTTTCTTCGGAAAATAAAGGTAGCATTAACGTTTGTACCAACAGTACTCGGCCCTAAAAGTCCGAAGAAGCAAAATCACTGCAATTTTCCACACAGCTATCTATGACATACGTTCCAGTGTGTGTGGTTTCCTTCTCGTTCTTCGACGTAGCCGTTTGGCTTTATTATTTTACTCAGTTTATGAACAGTTTCGCGACATATAAGGAAACCGAAAACCCTCAAATTAATTTCTTAATAAAAATCTTAATTGAATTCCTATAAACCGAAAACATCATAAAAAGACCACGAAGAAGTCATATTAAGTTAATATTGACCAATTTTTATTGGATTTTTCATTTTTTTCCACACAAAATGGAATCGTAAACTTTCTAATCAAGGGAGATTTTTCTATGCGTTACAATGATCGTTTAAATATTAATTTAAAAACTTCGAATGACGGATTTTCCATAATGTAAGAAACGCCGATGGCTCGGTGAAAAGCTAAAAGTTGCTGCGCAAGGATGCGGTGGAGGGAATAAAGCTTAGGTGGTAGGGGTAAAAATACAACGTAAGGGGGTGGGAGATACTGGACATCAGTATCCGTGATTTGGTTTGGTCAAGCAGTATTATTTAGATAATCGTAAGAGACGACGAAAATAAATTGATAGTACATATACAGTCTTGTTATCGTGTTAAAATGCATGTGTTTTGGTGCTAGTTTTAGGTATGCACATTTTCGCAAAGAAGTTTACATTTTCGTATTCACTTAAATGAATTTCTTTGGTTTCAGATAAAACTTTGCTGTGTTATCGTGAAATGAGAGGTGGTGTTTGGGATATGAGTTCTACGTGTATTCAAGGCGGACTCCCTCGTCCACTGGGAGGATATCAACCCAATCTAATCATGGAACCTCATTCGCCCGCCCCTGCTTGGCAAATGCATCACCCTATAATACCGGTAAGTCCCACATTTTATTAGTTTTAGAATTTCGTTATCTAATCGCGCCCTTTTCTTATACAGAAACAAGAACCAGCGGAAGAGGAAAGAAACGATTCAGGAATTAATTCCGGAAGCGATTTTCATTCCTCCTCGCCAGGCAGTGAAAATAGCCAGGATTATAATTCACAGAACGTACAGAACCCCACAACCTCGTCCTACTACACAACTCCGTTATTACCGAGGGTCCCTACAACATCGCCACTAGGCTATCAAGTAAATCTGCCGATGCATTTTAATTATCAATCCACGTCGCCTTCGCAAGACAATGCCAGTAAACCCAATTTTGCACCCGCTGCTTCTGCGACAGAAAACGTGGAGAATGAAGATCCCTTACGAAAACTTCAAAGTAGCCTGGAAAAGAATGGTTTGATGATCACACCGACTTCGCCCAAATTAAGCGAACACTCAGGCGACGATGAAAATAAATCCGATATGGAAGCGGACGAGTACGACGAACAAGGATTACGCGTACCCAGAATGAATTCGCATGGAAAAGTAAAGACATTTAAGTGCAAACAGTGCGATTTCGTAGCTATTACCAAACTGGACTTCTGGGAACATTCCAAAGGACACATAAAATACGACAAGCTTCTCACCTGCCCCAAGTGCCCTTTCGTCACCGAATACAAGCACCACTTAGAATACCACCTTCGCAACCACTTCGGATCTAAACCTTTCAAATGCGACAAATGTAATTATTCGTGCGTCAACAAATCCATGCTGAACTCGCATATGAAATCGCACTCGAACGTCTACCAGTACCGCTGCGCCGAATGCAGTTACGCAACCAAGTACTGCCATTCATTGAAGCTTCACCTGCGCAAGTACTCCCACAAGCCAGCGATGGTCTTAAACCCCGACGGCACCCCCAACCCGCTTCCAATCATCGACGTCTACGGAACCAGGCGCGGACCAAAGCAGCGATCATCCCAAAAACAGGAAGAACCGGAAACGCAACCGAACATTTTGCAAAACCACCTCACTCACTTCATGCTCAACAACACCCCGCAAATGCAGTTACCCTTCCCCTACCACCTCCTCGCAGGCTTCCCAAACCCGATGGCAAATCCCTTGCTATTCCCACCTGCGCTCGCCAACTCCGCCGATAAACCCGAGGAACGCTCACCACCTATGTCACCCGTCGCGCCGACCGCCGAGGCGCTCGACTTGAGCAAACCAGACGTCGCCACTCCCGATCAGCCTTCCAAGAATCGGCGCAAAGGTCGCGCCTTCAAGTTGGAAACCTTGCCTCACACGGAAACCTCGGACGACGAGTCCACCACCGAACTCCCAGCAGAGAAGAGCTTGGCCTCGCCTCCGGCTCGGTCGCCTGTAGAGAAAGATGAGGTAACCAACAATAACAATCACAATTTCGATTGCCAGTATTGTAACATAGCTTTTGGGGATATTGTTTTGTACACAATGCATATGGGATATCACGGGTTCAAAGATCCATTTACTTGTAATATGTGCGGGGAGCAGTGCCAAGACAAAGTGTCGTTCTTCTTGCACATTGCGCGTAACCCACACACATAGTTCACTTTTTCGATGATCAAAGAGATCTAGTCATGGAAATCGTTCTCCAAAAGAATCTAGTTATTGCCTACGCTTGCACTGTGCAATTTTTCGTTTAGCTTTTAGTTACAGTTTTGGAATAATTATACGGGTAATAACCAATTTCTGAGGTAGAGTGCGAGTTGTTCCTAATAATTTAGTATAGTATGCGATATTTGAAGCCAAAAATTAAAAATCACCCTGCTACCTATTGGATGCAGTATTTTAATTATTAATGTGACAATAACGTTTTAAGTCTCATCCTTGTACATACCATTTAGATATTCCTACAGCTATTTTCCAAAACTTCAAGTAATCTTACCAATTAAGATATTAAATTAAATAGTGTTATCTCGAGTATTAATTATGAACCATGTTTTAACGCCATTAGAAAAAAATATAACAAGACATTTTTAATGTATTTTTAATTTAGGCTACAATTTCGATAACTATTAGCGTTATTATAAGTCAATTTACATTAATTTTTGTTTTTTATGTGTTGTGTTAACACTGTTGGGGCCATAATCGAAGACTGATGTAAATAACCTTAAATTATATATGTGAGTTAGTGACTTTCGATGAGCAAAGAATCAATCAAAAATTAATTATAAATGTGGGTGTTTTATTAGTCATATTGTATTTATATTTAAAAATTCTGTACTGATAACAAATCAGACTTGAAAATAAATATTTTGAATTCTAAGTTTTTTTATTGTTACTGCGTAATTAACTATTTCAGAAGAGTCTTACTTTACAGTTCCTCAAAATCTTACTACGTTCAAGAGAAGTAACTTACAGGTTACATTCTCTACAGAAAGATGAGCTCTACAAAATTCGCTGGGCTCTGCATTTTTCAAAAATGGAAGTACATTAGTTACATTAAAGAATAATTTCCCAAAACGACTTGATGTCCATATTGAGCCAAATCTTTAATTAGGTATAAATTTAAAAAAGGAAATGAAGAAACACATGCACAAGAACTAAATTGCGCTCTTTTTAGGGGAATTTTTTGAACGAAAAATATGCCCCTTATGTGATTGATTTGTCCGCCCGTCTGTAATTCCTCGTCTGACTCGAGAACGAAAATAGACGGCGATGTCAAACCTTTGCCAATTGGGTTGAAGGACCGGTGCTATTAAGTATAACCCGGGCCATGTTTCCGAATGGAAGCCGAGGGTGTTTTGGTTTTGTTGGGAGTTTAGTTAAACGTTTCTGGGAAAGTGAAATAGATAAGTTTTTGAAAATTTGTACTTAGGAGTTACTCTGAACGCCGAATCGATGCAAAATATTTTCAAAATGGCGGCATTTCCGGAAATACAGGAAGTAGCGACTAAGTTCGTTATTTTAAATGATAATCCTTATTTTTTATTGCATTTTTGGATTCTACGTGAAATTTCAGTTCTTTTGATACTCCCCATGTCAGTATCTACAATTTATTTCATTGAATTGATAACATTTTTTTCGGATTTTCTTTTTAGTAATTTCATTTTAAAAAACTGATTTAAAATAACGAACTTACTAGCTACTTCCGGTATTTCCGGAAATGTCACCATTTTAAAAATATTTTACATCGATTCGGCTTTGAGAGTAACTCCTAAGTAAAAGCTCCCAAAAAATCACTTTGTACATACATATTCATTGTATTTACTTGAGAGCAAGCTCACACTGAACTTTCTTGGGGGTTCAAAGGCTTTTGGTCCCTCTATAATTCTACTTCAATGTACTACATAACATAAGGTGAATAAATTGCACAGCAATACCTACGCTCTCAAATATTTTTTGTCATATTATGACCTCATCGTAAGACTGTAAATTGAGAAATAACCTGTGCATCTGCTTCACCTGAAGTAAGTGCTTTACTGGCTCTCAAAAGGTGTTAAAACTTCAAAAGAAGCTGTGAAAGTACACAACCCTAAAGACTTTAGTGCACTGCTGTCTAACTAAAAAAAACAAGTTGCAAATCGGCATATGCATGATTAAAGCGCATTTTTGGTAATACAGATCAGTATTAAGTTTGAAATTATCGATCTCACGGGTAATCTAACTCAAAATAGACTAGTGCTTGCACATCTACACTATAGCAGAAAGCTGTTCGTGAAAATTTGAAGTGTCTAGCTATTGTAATTGCTGAGATCTCAACCGGACAGACAGCCAGCCATAACGAATATAATAGCGGATTTTTTTTTCAAAAATGCGCTAAAAATAAATCTTAATGCTATACAGGCTACACCCTAAAAATATGTTCAACGAAATTGCAATTGTTATACAGGGTGATTTATATGAAAGTTAAGTTAAAATGCGATATCGCAGTTATCATCAGACATATTTTTGCAATTCAAACATTTCTAATAATTAATGGTGTTTTTCGATTTTCAAAGCATCTCAGTATTAGTAGGCCGTTAAAAATGTAAACCAATGTGTAAGTCAATTTGAATAGTAAACTATGAAAATCCGTATTGGAAAATACTAAAACAAAATAAAAAGTAATAACATCTGTCAATTTGACTCATTGGCATTTACAATTCTGTTGTTTCTTGTTAGAAAAATAGAATTTGAGAGAAAAAATGTTCCGGTGCACATCGTGGAAAAAATGTGGTTTCAACACGATGATGCCCCAACTCATTTTGGTAGTTAAAGAATGGCTGAACCCACAATTTTCTGGGAGGTGGATAGGTCGAGAAGACGCTATAAATTGATCAAGAAATCGAGGGGGGGGGGGGCATTACTCTGAACATATGTATATAGGGCTTTCATTAAACGGTTCCTATCTTTAAATTTAGATGAAACAACGTGTGTGTCAGATATCATCGAAATTTTTTATTCGTTTCAAAGGCCTATTGTAATGGGTGTAATTATTTTCAATTACAAATAAACGCTTTTTGACCTGGGCGTGAAGAAGTAAATTTTTGTATTTTCGCTGTAGATATGCTGTATATTGTATTTTTGTAGATCGTTGTTAAGTTTAAATTTAGATTAAAAACCGATAGTAACGTTAGTATCGATCAGTGAAAAAATGTTCGTGAGATAACAACGCGAATAGAGACGATAATGTATTTGCGGGAATTCAGACGAGGTTTGGCTTGCATTGAAAGTAGTTCACGTAGCGCATCATTTTTAACGGTGCGAAATAAATTAATTACACACCAGAAACCTTTTTAGGGCATCAATATAAAAGTTTACAAATGCGAAGTAAAACGTGAGGTTTTTTTTTGTTTGGACCAGCGATCATTCCACCAGCTTCATTATGTACCTATAGTGATTTTTTTTAATTCCATCTTCTAAAAATTCCATTAAGCATGAAAAGGCGTTTTCGTTATTATATGCATGAATTAACATAACATTGTAAGGACTCCATCTTTTTCTTGGTACCAACTGGTGACCAAATTGTTTTTGCTGTTTTTCAATTTTTTGGCAGTAAAAGAAGATGTGGTCTAGACTTCCAACCATTTCGTCCTTATTCGTATTAGTGCTCGATAAACGTACACCTCTAGACTTTAGTCATACGAGAAATTGCATCATCTACTGCAAACCATATGTACCTAACTAAAACCAAAAATTTCGCCATACTATCCATGTCCTAGATTCCCACCATTCCTTTTCCCACGAAAATCTCGAAATCATCAATCTTTGCAACAAAAGCTTAAAATTGGACTTCCTAGAAATGAGAAATTTATAAAAATCATAAGGAAAGCCCTCAATTCGCCTTTTTTAACTCAACAAGAGCTTAACCTTCCTCTCCTCCTTGGTTTAAGGTTTTAACCTTAATCCTTTCAACCCTTCAGCATATCGTGACCGTTTTTCCTCGTAAGTAATGAATCTGAATTATTGATACATAACCTTTAATCTTTCCGCCATGTAACAATATGTAAATTTTAAGTAATTCTATATTCCAAACATTTAACGCTTGTGTCTTATATTTAAGGTAACTATTTAATTTTAGTTCACCCGTTAGTATAAATGCTAAATTTAGCCGCTCGATGATGACATGATTGTCGAAACATGTAGTGCCTTTTTAACCTATTTTTACATTTTTAACAATTAAATACTGAATAAGTATGTATATCAGCACCAAAGGGACCTCGCACTTCAATATTTCCTCGCCAGTAATGTATCATTTTCCTGGCTTTTATGTATATAACTATTGCTTAAAATTGTGTGATCAAAACTCTCTAAACCTTCCCCATATAGTTTTTATTCGTTGAAGTTTTTAAAAATAAAAGCGACTATAGTTTCGGCGTACTGCCATCATCAGGCGATGTAAAATTTAACAGGAAAACGGTAAGTTACAAACGTTGAAGACGAATGAGACGAACATGTTGTTTTTTAATTATTAACTGGCCGAAGCCAAATGAAACAACCTGAAGGGTGGTTAAACCGGAAAGGTTGTCCTAAGTTTCAAACCGAATTATTATCAAGCCTTGTTAAGACAACCAACCGGAGGGTTGAATTATTACATTAAAAGTTGAAAGTTGAATTTAACACATTTCAAAAGAACCGGGGGGAAAAATAAACTTATAAAAGTTTTGAAACTATTGAGATGACTACATATTTAAATTATTTAAGTTAAGTTTAAATTCGAGATCATGCAGACGGCATGTCTAGAAAAAAAAAATAATAATAATATTGCTTAAAATCCACCTCTACAAAAATGCCCAAAATTTGCGTTTTTGTAAGTATTGCCTCAACATGCGCCTGTCTTCTGTAGAGTGATAGTGCGGGCATCGTTCGATTGTAGATCTATGGCACTTGTTTCATCATTTATATTTGTTACATAGTTCTAATAGCTTACATTAAATTTTGAGTAATTTTCGCAAGACTTAGTTGTGCAGACTAGAATTGGAGTTGAAAAGGTTTCGGAGAATTTTTTATGGAACTTTTTTCAAAATTTCTTAAGGTTTAGATGTTTCCATGATCAAAAACCTCTAGTTAACAAATATCGCCGTGAACCACACCAACCTCGGAATTAGCTGAAGATGTAGATTTCAAGCTGGAATTAGCTATGCTATTTGACATTAATTCAAAGTGTACACTATTTTAAGACGCGGTTTCCCCTCATTTTCATCTTAGTGTTTCAATAAAGGTCTGTTTACAATAAATATGGTACCCCCAACCGCCCCAAACCTTTCTGGGTCCACCTAAAATGCCGCCACAAGTTTAACATACGTATTGGTATAAATGGTAATATTCCTCAACTCTAATTAATAAAACTAAATTACACATATTGTGATATACACAATCAACGATGGCATAGATGCATAGAAATTGTAATTTCACACAGAATTCCCTGACCAAAGATGTATGGGGAGTACAACTGGTACAATAACGGTTAGCAAATGAAAAATTTAATTTTTTATTATACCTGAATCACAATCTCCGTTTTAAACACTCAAATGCGTGCGAAAAAAGGCCTTTAAAACACACGTGCTTTAAAGTTGCTAAGTAACGATACTTCAAGCATCTGGGCGAAATAAAAAATCTTCCTAAGTCGCTTTCTGTAAATGCAGAATATTTCTTTGGCTTGTACCTATCCTTTGGTTGAAGCTTTTACAAACGCGCGTAATGCTTCCAAATCTGTTCCACTTTTTAGTCCCAGCAATAAGTGAAGTTTTGAATGAATGCACCAAAAGATAGAAGATTTAAATACCTTTGACATTTCCTTCATATATGCCAGCATTATCGATGCATTTAAGACTTTATTCGTAA